AGTCCATTAATTTTTTCTTAACTTTATATTTAATTATTATGTTTAGACTTGTGTTTGGTATTTTGATGGAGTTGCAATGGTTTTGTATTCAGATGTCTCTTAATGCTAGTGAGGATTTGCTTGTCGTCGGACATGGAGTATATTTCCTCGACTAGTTGGTTTTGGCATATTTGTTTTTGTGTTGCAGATGGCATAGTTCGTATAGTTTGTGGAGCATTTTCGGTGGAGGTCCGGTGGTATTTGAAATTTGTTTGTCCTGTTAGGGGTCGTTTGTGTGTTATTTTGTAGGTAGCTTGAACATCAAATCTACTGCTAGGCTATTGGAACTCGGCATATAAGTGATATGACGCTTATACTCGATGGATTGGTGCTTCAATGAGCTTGTCGAAAGAAGACTTTATTTGCGTTTATTTGTTTATTTATGTTACTCTGCATACTAACAGGGTTGCCCATCGCGTGGCATAAATGACCCTTGCATCGGTAGCAACCCTTTTGGTTGACTACTGCCCTTTCATTTTCAACGTACTGTAATACCCTATCTATTAAAAACTATCTATGACAAAAAAAAAAGAATTTTCTTTGCGTAAAATAAACCTAAAAACAAATTGATAATAATCAAGCACATGAGTTTGTACCTTAACGTCAAGCTAAAGCAAACATTTCAATGTCTCTGTTTCAAAGTTTGTTCCTCTTAGCACTAACCTAATTGATTAACTTCATTTTGTGTTATCCAATAAATTCTAACTTAATTATGATTATACAATGATATCAAATTTTGTAAAATTTAAAATAAATTGTTAGGATATCAATAATTTCTTCATACACTAAAACTATCATGTACATTAATGGTATCTAAATATACCACCATGATACAAATTTATACCATAACCGTTTAAAACTGATACTATGTTAGTATAGGTTTGAGACACCGTAATATGGTAACGACACACGACAATGGCCACATCTTCAAGAGGATAACACGTTTTATTTTGAAACATATCAAAATTGATATAATTACCTAGACTACACATAATATAATCTTATCGCACGAAAATATTTGAATTATTATTTGAAATTGAAGGACGTAAGAATTGATAAACATAACAGGGAAATTAAGGAAAAAGTAAATAAGAGTGGCATACGTTAGTGGTATCCGACGCTCTATTTTAGATCCCCCAATAATATATAGTACACTTTTGTGACCCAATGATGGGATTGTAAGGAAGTGGTTAAGTACCATACATGGGCCTGTATAAGATCCAGCATAACCTTCTCCCAACAACTCGAGTTATGACTCATGGGCTTAAAGTTTGCATAGGACCGTCATGCCATGTGCTTGAAAGACAACGGTTAATATTGGGGGTCGTGAGGAGTTGAACACGTGACCTCAAGGACAAACTAGCTCTGATACCATGTCATAAACCAGTTGGTCCCAATAACTCGAGTTGTTGGGAGAAGGTTATGTTGGATCTTATACAGGCCCATGTATGGTACTTAACCACTTCCTTACAGGGAAAAGCTCTGGCAGTTGATTTTGGCTTACAATTGGCACGTCAACATCAGCTAGCCTCACCCATTCTGGAAACCGATAGTCAAGTTGTGATAAACAAATTGAAATTGCCGGAGAAGGCCCAAACGGAGCTGGGAACGATGATAAGGAACATAAACATGCTGGTGGCTGAGTTCGACGAAGGGCACGTGCAATATGCTAGTAGGAATGTCAATGAGACATCACATATTATGGCTCACACGAGAGCGAGATGGGACATAGCCGATGTATGGTTTGATTGACCACCGCTGAATCTGTTGAATAAGCTTGTTAGTGATGATGTAACGCCGTTTTTGTCTTAATAAAGCTGAAATGCAAGTTCCTATAAAAAAACACGAAAACCTAGATTTGTGCATTACTTTCTCCAACCTAGATTTTTTTTTTACTCGTAATCTGGGAACTTTCATTAATCAGTAGTAGCAGCTACATTGTCCAACTTTAACTGATCAAGCAAAATGAGCAGGGGCCTATCAACCCATACAGAACTAGCATTCAAACCCGTTTCCACATGTGCCATCGCATGTGCAGCCGCATTAGCTTCTCTTGATGTGTACTGCCAAGATGCTTCACCCAAGTCTCTTAGCAAGCGACATATATTTCTGCATACTACACCTTTCTCCGTTCTAATCGAATCAGCTTTAGATATATCCGTCACGAGGTTTAGGCAATCAGTTTCCACAATAGGATTCATCAAATTGAGTTGGGTCTCTACTTGCACCCCGAGCTCCACAGCTAAAGCTTCTGCCTCGTCCGGTTCCCAAGTCCCTATTATCTTTTTCGCCGCCGCAAAGATAAACCTTCCCATCGAGTCGCATGCTATCGCACCTAACCCTGCTCCCCCGTCTGGCAGGATGCCAGCATCTGTATTGATCTTTATTCTGTTTAGGGGTGGAGTAGTCCACTTTTTTCTCGGGTTAGCTTCAGGCACCTCTTGTCTCTTAGCTTGGTTCTGTTGGTACTTAGTTAGCAGCTTTGCAGCAGTTGGAACGATCTCTGCCTCAGCCAACTTATGGTCATTAAACAAGTGAGCATTTCGATCCTTCCACAAGTAATAAAGGAGTACACACCAGGACTCCAAAAGTTCCTTCTCCACTGTATTTATCACTTCCTTCAGCCAGACAAAACAGTCCTCGCCTACCCTTTTCTTGAAACAGACGGCAGTTGGGGATAGCTGCCAGATATGCCTACCCTAGACACAATCACCAAACGCATGAGCCTGTGTTTCAACTTGATCACAGAAAGGACACTTGTCACTCCACCTAGGGTTATGTGCACTTACTTTGACACCCGACGGGAGGGAGTTCTTTGCAAATTTCCACATAAAATTTCTGATCTTTGGAGGGATATTGAGCTGCCAAACCGTCTTCCATAAAGAGTCCGATGGCGGCATAATGATACCTTGACTATCATTGTTTTGTTTTGTCCAGACTTTATATGCATCCTTAACTGTGTAATCACCATTCCGACCTGTAGACCAGATTTGGACATCCTTCTCCATCATATCTCGCAGCGGGATACTTTTCACAGCCAACTCCATCTCGTTATCGAAACAGGCCGCTAGGAGGTGACTATCCCATGTGCCCAATTCAGGATCAATAAGCTCTCTAACGGTTGCATCTGCAGGCAGACCACATGGGGTATACGTGATGTATGAATCCGGGGCCGTGGGGACCCATTGATCCTCCCATGTTCTTACACTCGTTCCATTCCCAATCCTCCACCGTAATCCGCTGCATAGAAATTCCTTGGCGCTAAGCAGACTCCTCCAAATGTAGCTTGGTCATAACCCAATTCAGCATCTAGAACCGAAGTGTGTGGGTGGTACTTTGCCTTTATAATTTTAGCAATTAGAGATCCTGGTCGCTGATGGAGGTTCCATAGTAGTTTAGCTAACAACGTTGTATTAAAACCCCGCAGGTTCCTGAATCCCATACCACCATTTTCTGTCGGCATCTCCAACTATTCTCTACTAATCCAATGCGCTTTTTTCTCCGTCCCTCTCTGTCCCCACCAGAAGTTGTTAGTGAGTTTATGCGCCTCTTTAATCACACCCTCTGGAATTCTGAAAACAGACATTGGATATGTCAGTTAGGCTTGAGCTACCGACTTAATCATCGTTTCCCTAGCCGCCGTCGGCATAGTCCTCTCCTTCCAGCCTTTCAGCTTCTTTCGCAGCCTATCCATGATCCCCTCAAAGAGATCTTTCTTCGATCTCCCTGCTTCAGTTGCCAGCCCCAAGTATTTGTCGAGTTTCTCAACTGTCTGCATTCCCAAAACACCACCAATCTCTAGCCTTCGATGAGTCTTAATGTTTTTGCTAAAAGAGATTTCCGACTTCTGGAAATTTATCAGTTGGCCCGATTCGGCTTCATAGTCTTTCAGAATCTTCTTTAAGAACAAGCTTTCCTCAATGGTTGCTCGGCCAAAGAAGACACTGTCATCTACGAAAAAAAGATGGGAGATTACCGGGCCACCTATACCATGTTGTATCCCATTTATTCTTCTTTCCTCTGCAGCTTCAGCTGTATAGGCTGATAAACCTTCTGCACACAGCAAAAATAGATAAGGTGAAAGCGGATCTCCCTGTCTGAGTCCTCTTCCTGGAAAAGACTTCTCTGAGCGGTGCCCATTCACCAAAACCGAGTAGGAGACAGAGCACACACACTTCATAATCAGCTTAATCCATCCCTCTGCAAAACCCATCCGCTTCATTACCCTTTCCAAAAAATGCCACTCCACCCTGTCGTATGCCTTTTCCATATCAACTTTTGCTGCGAACCATCCTCTTTTCCCGTTTTTTTTTCATTGAGTGAAAACTCTCAAACGCTGCCATGACATTATCAGTGATAAAACGCCCCAGGACAAAAGCGCTTTGCTCCGGAGAGATGACTTTGTCCAACAACATCTTCAGCCTGTTCGCCATTGTCTTTGCCACCAGCTTATAAATAACATTGCATAAGCTGATTGGCCTGAACTGCTTTGGTGACATTGGCTACTTTACTTTCAGAATCAGGGCAATCAAAGTATGGTTAAGCTCTGTCGGGAAATCGCTCCCTTCAAGTATTCCGAGCAAAGTCCTAGTGACGTCATCACCAACAATGTGCCAGTACCTGCGGAAGAATAAAACTGAATATCCATCAGCACCTGGCTCTTTTCTTTTCCCCATTTGTTTCAGGGCCTGGAAAACTTCTTCTCTGCTGTAAGGGCACAGTAATGCATCGTTATCCTCATCTGTGATGGAAGGCTTGATGGAGTCGATCACTAGTGTAGCTTCGGGTATTGCCCCTGCAGTGAACAAAGAGGAAAAATAGTTCGTTAGGCATTCAAACAACGCCTCAGTTCCCTGAAAGAGCCTTCCCTCCTCATCTCGCAATCTCCTGATCGTGTTCCTCCTTCTTCGCGCACTGGCCTTTTTATGAAAAAAATTTGTATTTTTATCGCCATCTTTTAGTTAGTCTGCACGAGATTGTTGCTTCCAATATTGTTCCTCATTATCTTCTAGATCATTCAATTTTGTTTGAAGTTGTTTAAGCTGCTGAAGGACCAATTCTGTTTTTTGCAATCTTTCCAGGCTCCGCATTGCCCTTAGTATCTTCAGCCTTTGTTTATTAAAATTAGGGAAACGCTCTCTGCTCCAATCCTCTCGTTTTTGTTGGCAGAATGAAAGCTTCCCAAAAGTATCAGTAAGCAAATTTCCCTTCCAAGTATCTTCAACAATAGCGGCGCACTCCTCATGTTTAGCCCAAAAAGGATCAAAACGGAATGACCAGCCCCACCTTGGTTTTTCATCTTCATCCCCTTCCGTTCTGCAGGCGATCGGTCTGTGATCGGATCGATTTTGATCTAGGTGTTGAACCCGGCCCTCTGGGAATTTCAATATCCAGAGATCGTTCCCAAGAAAACGATCCAGGCGTTCTTCGATATAACCCTCATGGCCTCTCCTGTTTTCCCAAGTAAATTCATAGCCTCGCAAGCTCAGGTCGTTAAGTCCTGCTTCCGTGAAACAGCAGGTGAATCTACTCATCTCAACATCATCCGCCCGCCTACCACCAGTTTTCTCTTCTAGGCCTTCAATTTGGTTCAGATCGCCCCCAACTAACCAAGGTCCTCCCCACCGTTTGGAGAGATCCTTAAGTAGTGAATTAGTCTTATCTTTGTCTTTACTTCCCGGCCTGCCATAAACACCTGTGAACCGCCAAGGACCCTTATGACGGTCATTAACCTGCATGTCTAGAAAATGTGCCTCAGTATCCATGCAGGTAAGTGAGACTTCTGACGTCCACCAAATACTGAGCCCTCCAGCTCGTCCACCACCAGTCGTATTCGTTGGCCATCTTTTTCCATGATCACTCATGTTGGGTCACTTCATTCTCATCTTCTGTTTGTTTCGTCTCCATCAAGAAGACTACATGCGGAGAAGCTAGTCGCAGGAGCGACTTTAAGGCTTTAACTGCTCGCTTGCTTCTCAGACCGCGGCAGTTATAGTTGAGGATACGCATTAATTACCCAAAGGGGATGGGCTCCCCGCGCCTTCTCCACTAGACTTCTGGCTATTTTGAACATGTTGTTTTTCTATCTCCATCTTATCAGCACCCTCTTTTACACCCGCCCTCTGTTTGACCTGGTTTCAACATATCGGGATCCTCTTGGTTGGCTGCCTTCTCATTATTGTTCATAGCACGAAAAATGATCTTCGCCGTGCCTTCTACCATCGCAGCTTGAGTAGTCTTTTGGGGAGTAGGAGGCGCTTGGTTCTTCTTTCCTGGACCACTCTTTGGGTTCTTTGTGACCGGTATCTTTTGTTGGTTCTTTCCACTGGATGTGTTCTTTGGCTGCACATTCTGCCATGCAGGTGGGTTGCTTTTCATTGGTATCTCAGTCTTTGATTGCTTTGGTTTCACCCGTTGGGAAACCTGCTCATGATGTGTCACATTTGCACGGTAATCCTCCCCCTCTTGCAAAACGTTAAAACTGCTGCCATTATCCTCCCGTCGACTTTGTTCGACACCTCCTCTTTTCTCATGAATGGCTGTTTTCTATTTGGCCTCCACACTTTCTTCTCGACAACCATCCAGTCCCCATAAATTTGTTTGACAGGTGAGCCCGTGGGATTGGTGGCCTCCCTTCTTCGTGTACTAAAACCTCCTGTTGTTTCTCCTCCTATGGTTTTGCTGGGCATATCCCACTGTGGAAATCATAGCATCCACAATTGCCACACAATTTATGAAGTCCCTCATACCCCACAAAGTACGTAACTCCTTCGATCTTGTATTAGGAAAGGAGAGGTTTCGTTAAATCAACTTCGACGCAGACTCTTGCATATTTAACTCGTGCCCCCATTAAGGTTGCTTGATCCACTCTGATGGGTCGAGCTATACGTTGGGCAATACGTTCTACCGCCACCTTGTTATAGAATTCCACCGGGAGCTCCTGAAGTTGAGCCCAAATCATAGCTGAATTAACCGTTCCATGGGTTAAAACCCTTATACCATCGTATCACTGAGAGGTACGTATCACCTAGCATCCATGGCCCTCCTGATTCGGCATATTCATAGTCCTCCTTCGCTTTAAATTTCACCAGATAGCAGCCGTTCCACATGTCATAGATTTTTACGTCACCTCTGCTTGCCCATGGAGACCACAGTCTGTTTGATAAAGGAGTGAATGGCACGACACTCCCCAATCCCTTTACTATCAACGACGAACACCTCTGTTGGGGGTGAGACCATCTGAGAGCTCTCCATTCCAGTCTATGCACATCTTATTCTTTTCAACACAGAACATGATGCAGTTGATCCAGGAGCCGGGAAGACCAATTTCCATCAAGGTGTCTCGAAGAAAGTCCCATCAAAGTCTGTCATACGCCTTCTCCAGGTCAATCTTTATCACCACTCCACCTCTTCGCCCTTTTCGCTTCCTGAGAGAGTGCAGAATCTCTTGGACCACGATGATATTCTGTCGTTTGTTGTCATGGGATGAAGCTGCTTTGCCTTGGAGAAATCCACTTCCGCATAAGAGGCTTGAGGCGGTCAGTCATCGCCTTGGTGATGGTTTTCAGACTCACATTGTTGAGAGAGAATGGTCTAAGCTGCGTTACCATTTCCGTCCGTCCACTTTGGGAATGAGGACCAAGGTAGACTCCGTGATTGATTTTGCGAGTTGTCCTGTATAAAAAAATGCCAAACCCATGTTAGTCAAAGTCTTACCCACCGAAGCCTAGTTACTTTGGTAGAAAAAATCTTGGAATCCTTCTGGCTTTGTAAGTTCTCGCAGCATCTTCTCTTGACCACGTGAAGCGAGGATCTGAGAAGCATAGATCAACCAAGTTAGCCTGATCGATAAATTTGTTAAAGGCTCGGCAGCGACGAGCAATACTTTCCGTGCCCAATCCGGACTTCTCATTCAGAGATCTGACCGCATTAAAATCCCCGGTTAGCAACCACAGCAGAGAAATCGTGGAACTATAGCTAATAAGAGAATTCCAAAGGCTCGGCTGCAATTGATAGTTAGGAGAAGCGTAGATAGTAGTAAGATAAAAACTCGGAAAGTTGGCGGTAGTAATCCTGGCCGTGAGGTGCTGAAAGCAAGCAGAGGTGATTTCTACATTGAAAACTTTCATGTCTAAACATAGCCAAATACCACCACTTCTACCATTTGCATCCACAAGAACGATATTGGGATATCCAAACTTTCCGCAAACCAAGTCTGCAGTAGCGCCGCTAATTTGGGGCTCCAGTAAAATGAGGATGTCTGGTTTGTGATGGTTGGTAATTAGCTTCATCGCTCGGAGAAATGCTCTGCTACCAGCACCGCTCACATTCCAGGACATGATATTAATATTAGTCTTGAACAATAATTTAAACCAAAAGAATTTGCTTTGGGTAAAATAAATCTAAAACAAATTGATAATAATTAAGCACATGAGTTTGTACCTTAACGTCAAGCTAAAGTAAACATCTTCAATGTCTCTGTTTCAAAGTTTGTTTCTCTTGGCACTAACCAGGTTGATTAACTTCATTTTGTGTTATCCAATAAATTCAACTTAATTATAATTATATAATGATATCAACTTTTGTAAAATTTAAAATAAATTGTTAAGATATCAATAATTTCTTCATACACTGAAACTATCATGTATATTAATGGTATCTAAATATACCACCATGGTACAGATTTATACCATAACCGTTTAAAACTGATATGGTAACGACACACGACAATGGCCACATCTTCAAGAGGATAACACGTTTCATTCTGAAACATATCAAAATTGATATAATTACCTAGACTACACATAATATAATCTTATCGCACGAAAATATTTGAATTATTATTTGAAATTTAAGGAAGTAAGAATTGATAACATAACAGGGAAATTAAGGAAAAAGTAAATAAGAGTGGCATACGTTAGTGGTATCCGACACTCTATTTTAGATCCCCCAATAATATATAGTATGCTTTTGTGACCCAATGATGTGAGTGTAAGGAAGTGGTTAAGTACCATACATGGGCCTTTATAATATCCAGCATTACCTTCTCCCAACAACTCGAGTTATGACTCATGGTCTTGAAGTTTGCACATGCCCTCCATGCCATGTGCTTGAAAGACAACGGTTAATATTGGGGGTCGTGAGGACTTGAACACGTGACCTCAAGGATAGACCAGCTCTGATACCATGTCTTAAACCAGTTGGTCCCAATAACTCGAGTTGTTGGGAGAAGGATATGTTGGATCTTATACAGGCCCATATATGGTACTTAACCACTTCCTTACAGGGAAAAGCTCTGGCAGTTGATTTTGGCTTACAATTGACACGTCAACATCAGCTAGCCTCACCCATTGTGGAAACCGATTGTCAAGTTGTGATAACAAATTGAAATCGCCGGAGAAGGCCCAAACGGAGCTAGGAACGGTGATCAGGAACATAAACAGGCTGGTGGCTGAGTTCGACGAAGGGCACGTGCAATATGCTAGTAGGTAGGGGTGGGAATCCGGTCCCGGTTTTCCGGTCTAACCAGAAACTGGCCAGTTTAAACCGTCTCGGTTGTAACCGGAGACCGGATTGCATCCAATCTGATCCCGTCTCCGGTCTGTCTGTCTGCCAACCCGGTCCAATCCGGTTAAAACCGGAAAACCGGATTAACTTAAAAATAAACTTCTCCAACTAAGCCCGGCCCAGCCCACTACCACAACCCAATCCCTCAGGCCCACACTATAACCTCATTCAGCCCAGCCCAAAGCAACTTAGCCCACAAGACCCACTCAACCCTAAACCTACCCCTCCTGCTCTCACCCACCAGTGGCCACCACATGCAATAGCTAGCAGCCGCTCACTCACTCCTACCCCTCTAATCTCCCTCGACGAAACCAACAACCTCAGGCAATCTCCCTCCCCCGACTCTCGTAACTCACTCACCTCATCGAGCTCTTCCCCTTCTCTATTTCTCTATCCTCCTTCACCCAAGTCTGTGGAGAGAAGAGGCAGAGCAGCAACAACGGCGAAGAGGCGAGGCGAGGCTCTAGTGGCGGGACAACCATGCCGGTCAGAGGTGGAATCCGTGGAGAGTTGAGAGTAAGCAGCAACACCGGCGAGGCGACGTTCTAGTGGAGTGGCAATCGGCGATTGCATGTCGAATCTGAGATGAAAAGAAGACCAGCAGCAGCGGAGTTTTGGACCAGGGGATGGAGGTCGACGCAGCGATCGGGGAGGGAGGTCGTGGTGGCGGTCGGGAAGGGAGGAGGATGGGAGAAAGGTCGAGAAAGGCCAAGGATGGTTTGGATTTCTTGGTACCAGAAGAGAGGCATTGAGATGAAATTGAATGGAATGAGAGAGGAAAAGATGAGACTATGAGAGAGACGATAATGGTGGGATTGGGTCTTATGTCTGGTTTTCTTTTTCCAATTGAACGGATGCGTTTTGGGATGGAAGAAGGAGATCCGGTTTTTCGGTTGAAACCGGATCAATCCAGTCCGGTCACGGTTAAAACCGTGCATCAATCCAATCCCGTCTACGGTTGGGTATATATCCAATCCGGTTATAAAAAACCGGGTCAATCCGGTCCGGTTTAAATCGAACCGGACTGTTTCCCAGCCCTACTAGTAGGAATGCCAATGAGGCAGCACATATTATGGCTCACACGAGAGCGAGATGGGACATAGCTGATGTATGGTTTGATTGACCACCGCCGAATATGTTGAATAAGCTTGTTAGTGATGATGTAACGCCGTTTTCGTCTTAATAAAGCTGAAATGCAAGTTCCTATAAAAAAAAACACGAAAACTTAGATTTGTGCATTACTCTCTCCAACCTACAAGAAGGAACGTCACACATCTCCAACCTAGTCTTAGAAAAC